ACATAAGAATTCGCAAAAGGAAATTCACTACTAATTGCCGACTTTGCGTACTTTTCTACTACCATTTTCGCACCAAGGGATTTCATTCTTCCTCTTTCTCTGTCCTTCGTAAGTGCAACCTTTTGTTTTGTAATTATCTCATAATTATCCTTTTATTATTGAATCATGGGACTCGACAATAAGAGAGAAAAGAATAATAAGGAATTAAATAGTATATTGCCCAATATTAAGACCGTAAATTTATAAATAAAAAAGGAAATTTAAAAATAATGTTACACAATTTAGAACAACATTGAAAAAATCACCGTTAGAAAAATACTGTGCTTCAATAACCTCAATTTTCCTATATGATTATATATATACATATAGTAAAATGTCCAGTAGTCAATGAAAAAAAAAAACAATAACATTGCAGAATAGCCAAAAAATTGGAAAATGTGGTACAATATCAAAGTTGTGGTATAAAATTCATAAAGGGTATTTCCACGATGCCTGAGTTGCGCAATTTCGTCATTATCCTGAATTTCAGCTGAAATCGCGATACAATTCTCAATTTGACCATATAAAAAAATATCACGTGAAATTGCGTATGAATTTTCAGCGAATAAACAATAATAAACCGAGCCTACAGTCACAATAGCACTTCAATACTTTTACAATACTAATTGCCAATGTTAGTCCGTAGATGGCGCGCTATGGGGGTTTCCTTTGTTCATGAATTATGAGGTCAAAAATGTATACAGAATTAGGTACGAATTCGTAAAGTGAGCACAACATTTTTTTTATACAATTACGATCTTTTAAAAGGCCTATCCGTTAATAAGTAGGTAATCTATTATTAATTTTTTACAGTAAAATATTTACTATTGAAGTAATAAATAAATACAATTTTTTCCAAGTAATTCACATCAAATTAAATTTGTTCATTCTAAATGTAGTGAATATANAATATGTTTTTATGTATGTACCTAATAAGTATAAGTTCTGATGTGTACTTTAAGTCTCATTAATGCTTTGTAATATATGTATAATAAAAATAAGGGGTTTATTAGAATAATTATTTCCGCGAACTATTAGAACAGTCTGCTTCTATCTGTGGCTACAAAGAGGGATGAGTTTACCGTGTATTTCTGTCTGCGCAGACTGCGCATGGGCCCGCTTGTATATTATAATTATATTTTGACAGTATCCGTTGTTTCTGATTGGCGTAAAAAAATCTTTCCAAGTGACGAATTCGCCCCTTGATATGGTCGTTGCTCAAAGCTATTTATATTCGAAATTGCATTAAAATTGGAAAACAGGAATCTATAATCTTATCCAGGTAAAAAGCTACCTAAGTACCGAATTTTAAGCAAATCGGACCATAAATATGATTCTTCGAATAGATCGGTCCCTGGTCCACTTCTCGGAAAAAACGGATCATATATGCTAAAAAGCTACCTACGTACCGAATTTTAAGCAAATCGGACCATAATAAGAATGTTTCGAACAGATCGGTCCCTGGTCCACTTCTCGGAAAAAATGGATCATATATGCTAAAAAGCTACCTATGTACCGAATTTTAAGCAAATCGGACCGTAAATAAAATTTTTTCAAATAGATCGGTCCCTGGTCCACTTCTCGGAAAAAATGAATCATATATGCTAAAAAGCTACCTACGTACCGAATTTTAAGAAAATCGGACCATAATAAGATTGTTTCGAATAGATCGGTCCCTGGTCCACTTCTCGGAAAAAATGGATCATATATGCTACGTACCGAATTTTAAGCAAATCGGACCGTAAACACGAATAGATCGGTCCCTGGTCCATTTCTCGGAAAAAATGGATCATATATGCTAAAAAGCTACTTACGTACCAAATTTAAACAAATCGGACCATAAATGCGATTTTTTCGAATAGATC